AGCTTGTTTCAACTCCCAATATAGCTGTGCATGACATGCAAAATGACAACCCTCTTCCAATTTAGAAGGAAAAAACAAAAACAGAAAAATTGGCATCCAGAATTAATTCCTTACTAATTTGACAAGACTTTAAAGAAGGTTGGCCATGGTACTGTCTCCTGCCTTTTTCGCAAGAGGATTACGATTCTACCTAGAGAAAACAAAATCGTGCACGTTTCTGAAAGAATCCTACAGCAATTTATAGCGTCCATCTCAGTAGCCAAGATTGGTTATAAAACACAGATTGTATGCAAGAATAAGAGAGCCATAAAACCAAAAACCAAAAAAACAAAAAAAAAAAACACAGAAGAGCTGTTCTGCTTCAGCAGTTGACATGGAGAAAGCAGAATTGATTTTCATCCCCTGGCCACTGATGGGCCATTTGGCTCAGCTGGTGGAGCTCGCCAAGCTACTAATCAATCGAGACAAGAAGTTTTCCATCACAGTCCTAATCTCCAGGCTCCCTGCTTCCCTTGATCCTATCACCAATAAACTGATAGACTCTCTTGTTGCTTCCTCCACCACAGAAGCCCTTCAATTCGTTCAGCTTCCTCCGACAGATCCCACCCCTGAATGGAGTTCCCTCAGCCGAGGGTATTTCATCCAGAAGCAAATGGATAGTCTGAAACCTCATGTCAAGAAATTCATCCAACAGCGCCAAACTGACGAATCAAGCAGTTCAAAACTTGTTGGAGTAGTTGTCGACATGTTTTCTACCAGCATTATTGATGTAGCTGATGAATTTGGGATTCCTAGCTATGTTTTCTTCACGTCAGGTGCAGCATTTCTCGGCCTCATGCTCCATTTTCAAAGCCTTCAAGATGATCACAACCAGGACGTCTCCGAGTTCTCAGATTCAAAATCTGCCCTGTCATTCCCAAGTTTTGCCAATCCTATTCCACCATCAGTCTTGCCTATCGTCTTAGTGGACAAACCTCTCTGGATGCATAGATTCCTACCATGTGCTCGCGGATACAGAAAGGCCAAGGGAATCCTGATCAACACATTCACTGAACTAGAACCATATGCAGTCGATTCTTTCAACCTATCGGAATCCTCTCCAGAAATCTACCCAGTAGGACCAATTCTGAACCGGGTACAATATGTATCCCGTGATGTACAATCAGGAATCATGGAATGGTTGGATGGCCAGCCTCCAGGCTCAGTAATTTACATCAGCTTTGGCAGCCTGGGAAGCCTACAGATCGACCTAGTGAAAGAACTAGCAAATGGGCTTGAACGCAGTGGATACAGATTCTTATGGTGCCTGCGTCGTCCCCCTCCTAAGAACACCATTGTTGATTTCCCAAGTGAGTATGAGAATTACAGAGATGTCTTGCCTGACGGATTTCTGGATCGAACATCACACGTTGGAAAAGTTGTCGGTTGGGTTCCACAGTTAGCTGTACTGTCACATGCTGCAGTGGGAGGATTTATATCACACTGTGGCTGGAATTCGACATTGGAGAGCATCTGGTGTGGGGTGCCCCTGGCAACATGGCCTTTAGAGTCAGAACAACAGTTGAATGCATTTCAATTGGTGGTGGAGCTGGAATTGTCTGTGGAAATAACATTGGATCATTCATCAATGGACAAAAATCAGGCTTTGGTTACAGCTGAGCAGATAGAAACAGGAATAAGGATGGTGATGGAGAGTGATAGTGAAGTGAGGAAGAAAGTCAAAGAATTCAGTGATAAAAGTAGGAGAAGCATGAAACAAGCAGGTTCATCATATGAATCTCTTGGAAGCCTGATCAGTAAGATGTTGCATAATAGTTGATTAGTTATTAGTAAAATTTGAGGTATGTTGTTTTATCACGTTCTTAGTTAGCTATCTCAGCTGGAAATAACATACTGAAATCTATCCGATGTAGCCTTTGCACCATCATCAATGTATCAGCACCTTTCCGACCGTTAAATTTATCAATTCATCTTGAGATCTAAGATTTTTTGCATATTTTCTTTCAAACGATGGTACTAAAACTTAATGGCGAGTTTAAAAGCGATTGATAACAAAAAATACAACATCTGAATTAATTAAGTGGCACTGAGTGTTATAAATAAAATTTATTTTAAAAAATAATTAATAAACTATTTACTCACTACTTAATAATGTAATATATACTCGAGAAAAAAATTCGGGGAGCTCTTAAACTATTATCGTTGTTAACTTTTGGCCCCTCATCTAAAATTTGTTTCCGATTGATCCTTAAACAATTAAAAATGCATACTTTGAGGACTTCCGATGACTTTGAGCACAAATCTGACAGGAATTAAAGGAGAACTGAAGATGAAAAGAAACCTCTCCTCTCTCGCCATCAAATCGTCCTCCCTATCACAATCGATCTCTTATGTTCTCTTCTCTCTGTGAAGAGAAAAATTTTAAAAATTAAGAACCAATCTGTTCGTTCGATTTTGCTCAAATTATTCACCAATAAAGGTTATCTTTTGGCCCAAAAATCAGCCTGAAAGTTGATAAAAATGGCGTCTTCATCAGCAGCAGCAGCAACCCAATTTCAGAACCCATTTTTGCATTATAAAACTCCATTTTTATAAACCTCAATTCTACAGGTTTTTGAGTGTAGTGAATGAAAAGGTTGTTGGGATTGATTTGGGGACAACGAATTCAGCAGTGGCTGCCATGGAAGGAGGGAAGCCTACTATAGTTACTAATGCTGAAGGGCAAAGAACGATGCCTTCTGTGGTGGCCTATACCAAAAATGGGGATAGATTGGTTGGGCAGATTGCAAAAACGGGGATAGATTCTTCTGCAATTTCCGATGAATTTAATCACAAATCTGCAAAACATGAACAGACAAAAATGCCCTTTAATTCCGATCAGATTTGTGCTCAAAGTCATCGGAAGTCCTTAAAGTATGCATTTTTAATTGTTTAAGGATCAATCGGAAAAAAATTTTAGATGAGGGGCCAAAAGTTAACAACGATAATAGTTTAAGGGCTCCCCAGGTTTTTTTCTCTATATACTCAAATATATATCAGATTTAGTACTTAATAATTCAGTAATTTAATGGATTTAAATTTCAGATTTTAAATTTCATATTTCAGTTTTATCAAAACCACCCAAGCCTAGACTCTGGAGATTGGAAAATGAAAACACAATATAGTTTCAATTTAGAATTCTTTCTGTCACAATGAATGTGCAGCAGCTTGAACATTGTTCATCCTGGACTTGACAATCTGACGCCTAATGAAACGGTGGAAAACTAATTGATTAACAATTAGCACTGAAGATGATCATTCACATTATCACAAACATCTGTTTCTGATCTGTCTTTCCATATGACCGTAATTGTAACAACTAAAGTTAAAATGGAAGAAAACCCATTCGTATTTTACGTTTTCATTTTTGTCGGTTCATACAACTAAATAATACTAATTATTTTTACGTTTTCATTACAACTAAATACTATTTTTGTCGGTTCATACAACTATTGATATTTCAGCACCTTTGATATCTCTATCCTTAGTTCATTTCATTTCTGAATTTGCCATCTAAACTCAACTTTGTTACAAGTTCACGAAAAGGAAACAAAAAAATTAAGCTCAAAAAATTTTACTTGGATTAATAGTTATAGTTTGTTCTCAAGTGCGGATATTAAGGGCCGGAAACATCACAATGTCGAGGAAGTTAGGAACATCAATTGCATGGTCTATTAATATATGCTTCCAATACTTCATTGACAATTATTTTGATGACAACGGCCATGCAACCGTTGCTCAGCCACCTCCATTTCTGAACTTTTTTTTTCAAGGAAAAAAATGTTTACAAGACCACGTTTCTCGGATCTTGTTCGCAACAAAACAGAGCAAATTACCTGGGTAGTCATTGCACTTTCTGAATAGTTAAGATTTGACCACTCAATTATTAATAGTGTGTTTTTACCTAATAAACTATCAAACGCATAAATTTTGGGTCGTTTCGTCTAATTCCATCATTAACTCTACCAGATTTGAAGATACACACGATTCACGAGACATACTATTAATAGTTAAATTTGGCAAAGTTAATGATAAAATCAAATGAGATGAGTTAAAATTTACACTTTTAATAGTTCAATGGATAAAAATAAACTATTAATACTTGTACGACTGGCCTTTCCAATAGCTATCTCCTGTTGTCATTCGATCTTCGTTTAAATAATGGTACAGTGGCCTTATTTTCCGCTTAGATGTTTCATCACTTCTTTCATTCATAGTTAGAAAATCCTTCACAACTTATCCAACCATCTAAAGGAATATTTAGGGTTTGAACTATTGAATTTGTGCCTATAAAGTATAACCAAGTTTCTTCTGTGTCTGGGACAAGGCTACCACTCACTATCAGTTTCTCCTTGCAAGCGTATATGATGACAAATGCTAGTAGTAATCCACTGAATTGAAGTAAAAGAGGCTTGCTACAACGTTGTCTAGTTGAGACCGGTCAAACAAGCTGCGGAAAAACATTAAAAAAGAAATTTAATTGAACAAGAAAGTCTTCCATTCTATGCGGTGCAGTACATTGAGGGCAAAAAGGATGGTCATCTTCTTTTAAACGATGTCGTGTTGGAACTGTTTGGATCTCAACTTGAATAACATGACCCACCTCAATAGTCACGTCACTCTATCCACCGTAAAGTGTCTGTTACATTGAATAGATTGAGTTTTGTATACGTGACGAATCCAACGACCTGAGCGTCTTATAATTATAAAGACATCAAGATTTAGAGATTTCGGCTTCTAATTTTCTTTCTTCACTACCTATTTCTTAAATTTTATTCCTCCTTGCTAGAAAAATTTTTTCTATTCTTTTTAAATAAAATACGTACATAGAAAAATTCGTCAGCACAATTGATTAATTGTCTGCTGTCCTTCGTACTTTACTTCGACAAGAAAATAAAAGAAGGTAGGCCATGGCAGGATAATCCTGACCACAAATTTCAGGTTTCTTGGGAGCATTCTTGGGAAAGAACAAAAGAGCAAAAGAAATGCCAGAGTAGTACGCCTACTGCTATTGCTGTTAGTGGTTTAGTGTGGCGTGGGACTCCCTTGGCAATAATGCAAACTTTACAGTGGATTGTATGAAGAAACAGATCAGATTGGTTAAAAACCAAAAACAGAACAGCAGCTATTCGTGTTTCCAATTCCGTCAGCTGATATGGAGAAAGCAGAATTGATTTTCATCCCTTGGCCACTGATGGGCCATTTGGCTCAGCTGGTGGAGCTGGCAAAGCTGCTAATCAGCCGAGACGAGAGATTTTCCATCACAGTCCTAATCTCCAGGCTCCCTGATTCCCTTGATCCTGTGACCAATAAATTGATCAGCTCTTTAGTTGATTCCTGCACCACAGAGGCCCTTCGATTCTATCAGCTTCCTCCAACAAATCCCACCCCTGAATGGAGTTCCCTCACTCGAGGGTACTTCATTCAGAAGCAACTCGATAGCCAGAAACCTCATGTCAAGGACTTCATCCAACAGCGCAAAACTGATCAATCAAGCAGTTCAAGACTTATTGGAGTAGTTGTTGACATGTTCTCCACCAGCATGATCGATGTAGCTGATGAATTCGGGATTCCTAGCTATGTATTCTTCACATCGGGTGCAGCGTTTCTACGCATCATGCTCCATTTTCAGACCCTTGAAGATGACAACAGCCAGGATGTTTCTGAGTTTTCGAAGTCAGAAACTGCTCTGTCTTTCCCGGGTTATGCCAATCCAATTCCACCATCAGTCTTGCCTATGGCTCTAGTGGAGAAACAGCTCTGGTCGCGGCGATTCCTACCATGTGCTCGTGGATACAGAAAGGCCAAGGGAATCTTGATCAACACATTCACTGAACTAGAGCCATATGCCCTTAATTCTCTTAATCTATTAGAGTCCTCGCCACAAATCTACCCGGTAGGACCAATTCTGAACCAGGTACAATATGTCTCTCGTGATGTACAATCAGGAATCCTTAAATGGTTGGATGAGCAGCCTCCAAAATCAGTAGTTTACATCAGCTTTGGCAGCCTGGGAAGCCTTCCAGTGGACCAAGTGAAAGAGCTAGCTAATGGGCTCGAACGCAGTGGTTACAGATTCTTATGGTGCCTGCGTCGTCCGCCACCTAAGAAAACCATTGTTGATTTCCCAAGTGAGTATGAGAATTATGAAGATGTGTTGCCTGAAGGATTTCTGGATCGAACGGCAAATGTTGGAAAAATTGTCGGTTGGGTTCCACAATTAGCCGTATTGTCACATGCTGCAGTGGGAGGATTTGTAACGCATTGTGGCTGGAATTCGACACTAGAGAGCATTTGGTTTGGGGTGCCCCTTGCGACATGGCCTTTAGAGGGAGAACAACAGTTAAATGCATTTCAGTTGGTGATAGATTTAAAACTATCTGTGGGGATTACATTGGATTACTCATCAAGAAATCAAAATCAGCCACTGGTTGCAGCTGAAGAGATAGAGAGAGGAATAAGGAAAGTGATGGACAGTGATAGTGAAGTAAGGAAGATTGTTAAAGAAATGAGTGATAAGAGTAGAGAAAGCATTAAACTCGGAGGTTCTTCACATGGTTCTCTTGCGAGACTGATTAGTACGATGTTGCATGATAGTTGTTAATAAGAACTGAGGTATGCTGTTTTCCATATGTTCTTAGTATCATTAACCACCTCTGTTGCAAGCAAATCTTTCTTATGTTATGTTGCCTCAGTACCATCATGAAAATTTATCATCATCTTTCCTGCTGTTAAATTTCTAAATTCATCATGACAGACTTAAGATTTTGCTTTCCTTTTCTCCAGGGAAAAAGGTGGTAGGGTTTTAGATGATTGGCCCGAGTACACTTGGCATAGACTCTGTAACCAATGGTAACATTTTATGATGTAGTGAAAAATCAGCATAGAATGTTCCCTAAAAACTTCAAAGAACAATGATCCTGCTGCATGGTTCAAAGGATTTAATGAAGAAACAGGAAAAAAGAAACTGTAACATAGTACATCACTGTTGTTGAATTGTAAGGAGAGGCCTTATTTATTTAGGAGCGTTCTTTTCATCCCACTAGAAACGTCTAACATAAGCAGTTCAAGATTGTTGAGATCCAATTATCCAAAACTATACCCGTGATCCATCTAGCCACAATAGTCGTCCGATGTCAGTACGATTATTAATTTTCGTTTTTTTAAAAAAAATTTTCTTCTCAGTGGGCTATTTTTAGACTTCTTTGTTCTTTTATTTGGTACCAGACTTCCTAGTAGGTTTTGGACCACCCTACTCCAGGACCGCACCAATCAAACTTCAGCCACCATTTCTTTCTTACAATCAGAATCAGTACTAAACAGCCAGGTGTACCACTGTAGATCTGGAAAGAACTGGATAGGATGGAAATGGAGGAATAGCTTTTGGGGGTCGGTGGATTTGTAACTGCTACAGCTATATATTAAACCTTGGAGGCAATACTCATAGCACAGATTGGCTGTTACCAAAACACACACACCCCCCCCCCCTCCCCCGGCGGCGCGAGCCCAATGGTCTCTTCCTGAGGTTTCTCCAGTTCCCTTCATGCCCTTCACATATGTTCAATGGTCGAAAGATAGGACGAAGAGGGAAAGGCAGATGGATCTCTGCAAGAAATTGCTGGTGTGGGGGTCTTGGAAAGGAAATGATACGCTTGAAAAAACCGTTTTCTTGAATTAACTTTTTTTTCCTTGGGACGACAAAAAAAAAAAAAAAAAAGGCGTTAAAGAGATTTTGATGGTTGGAGATGATATCCTTTCCCAGACCTCCCGTGCCGGTGATTTCTTGGGGTCCTTCCCTTTCCCAAACTTGTTCTTTTAGATCTCAGGTTGCTCTGCATATATTCTGCAATGGTAAAACCTTTCAGTTATCTTATCATCTCTGCCTTTTTATATTCTGCTAGAGTATGATTTTCTGCTGATTTTATGGTCAGATAAAGCATAATAATGTGATTTGAACTGTGGTTGTCTTTTTTTATTTTAGTTTTTGGCAGATTGCATGTTACTCGAGTTCTTCTTCAGGGACCAGTAAATCAAAGGATATATGCTTGATTGGCTGTTAGATGATTTCAGTTCATTCATTGAGTTGGTGAATAATTTGGCTTCAAAGCTTCGAAATTGTGTTTTTCATTTTAGTTGTGTTATTCGTCTGGCAAAAAAGTTATTTGAGCTTTGAATTTTTCCGAGGCAAAGAGTGATATATATTCCTCTAGTACCAACTACCAAACGTGAGGTTTAGAGTCGAAGAAGAAATCAACATCATGTAATAGAGTAAACAGAAATTTCTTCCGATTTGTAATGAAATCAACCAAAAACACTACTCTTCCACTGCACTTATTAAACTTATTGTAACAAGTCAAAAATAGTGTTCGGATTTAACTTATTAAAATTATCTCGAGTTCAAATTTGAGTTCGATCTTGATAGTATGACATCAATAAGTTGAGTTCGAGCTAAAAAAAACTCAAATATGCTTATCGAATGCTCTAAACAACTTTGCAACTGAAAAAATATTAACTAATTAAATTTGCCTATCGAATTAAAAGATTTCACCGAATATAGGGAGATTTTTAATATTTAAATAAAGTAAAATTTTAAGCAATCAAGGCGAAAATAAATCTATATATAATGACTAAAACAAAATAGTAAAACTAGAGGTTGAATGAATGTCCAGATGAATCTAGGCGGATGACTCAGACTTTTTGCGCAAGGGTCTTTCCATCACCATTTGTTTGGTCAACTTTTTGCAGCCTTGAAGCTACGCAACGCGCTTTTACGCTGCCCCACCACCTTGACAATGACCCTCTTCAAACCACTGGGCCAATGGCTCAGTGGCCACTAGGGAAGGATTTAAGTCCTTCATTGACCGTAGGTGAGGGTTCGAAATTCATCTGTAGCGAAAGAATCTAAAGGTTGTGTTATAGTATTTTCTTGATTTAGTTGGGTTTGTACACCCACTAGCCTTTACAATAGTCTCCTTAGGCTCCCCCTCCCCTCTAGATTAGGATAGAGTAGATTATACAAATGTATCGTTGCTGATAAAAAAAAAAAAAAAAAGACAATGACCCTCTTTAGAATATATGCCTTTTTTGTTATTAGTTTCGTTGGCATTTTATGAATACTGGAAAAAGGAAAAAGACTTAAAAACCAGATATGAAGAGAAATTACTACTATTAATTTTCTTTCTTCTTCTTCCTTTTTTTTTTTTTTTGGCTGAGGAATGTTAGAAACTTGTTCATGAATGATTTTGAATTATGCCCATAAATCTTGTATATAATTTACAAAAAGTTTATCAATTCTTGGATGCTTTTCTTCTATAGGCAGCAAGGCAATACAATAGGAAGTCACGTTGTGGTTTCTCCCTTATAGCATTTGTGTTGATGCATCCAATCATCTTTCTTTTTGTCCCTTATGGTAATAATTAAGTATGATTAACCACCCAAACATCTCAGAAGGCTTTAAAAAAAAAAAAAAAAAAACTCATGCAAAAGGTGCATTAATCCAAAGTCTGATGAGCACAAACGTGAATTTTTGTTTTAGATTTGATTGTAAGATAGTGTAGGAACTTTTATTACAATCTAATAATTAGCACACTTTGTTTTCTTTAATGTTCATATTTTCATCCTTAGAATTTAGCAACTAAAAGAATAGAGTGTTTTCTATGCATGTGTGCTTGCACCAAGAGCCTGAGTCAGTAGCTTGACCCGGTAAATGAAATTTGCAGCGTCCACTTATTGTTTGCGGCGTCTACTTTTCTTTAATTCATTTGCGGCGTCAATTTTTCTTTATTTTCCTGACGCTGCGGCGTCAATTTTTCTTTTAACGCAGATTGCGGCCAAAAAAAAAAAAAAAATTTTTAGTCAAAAAAGCAATTTTTTAAAAAGTGGAACAGTGTATTTTTTAAAGTAAAATCGCAAATCCCAATTGCGACGATAGTTTTCCTACCATCCATTCCACCTAACCATCTAACGAACGGTTGTAATTACAGCTCTAATTATTTTTTAATAACAAAAGCGCTGAAGCCTATTATTATTTTTTTATAAAAAAATTATTTTCTTGACGCCCAAATTGTCAATTTTTTTTTTAGTTTTTTTTAAGGGTTACATTGTTTATATTAAGGGGTACATTGTGAAGGCTTGGAAATTATGGTTTCATGCTAGGTAAAATGTAAAATGCTAAATCTTGATTAAGCCTAATTTATTATCATTATTACATTCTATAAATATTGTTCAATGCTATATTATTTATTATTATTTAAATTAACATTAACATTAAAAAATTTCAAAAATATAACTTAGTCAAATTTTATTAGTAATTTAAGAGCACATTTGATTATCATCTAAATTTATAAAATTAACATAATTCTAATATTATATATTAAATTTTGATAATTCTGGTTTATAATAGAATTTTAGTAATACGATTTAGGAATTTTGATTTTAAAATTAGGGTTAAAAGGTTGCATTGTGAGGGCTTGAAAATTAGGGTTTCATGTAAAATGTTAAACTCTAAACCCTAATTAAGCAAGGTTTTCTGAAAAAAATAACTTTCGTCTCGATTACGTTTTACTAAAAAAATAAAAGAAATATATCGCTGCTCATGAGATGAGTGGCGATGCGGAAAAAAAAAGTTAAAAAACTTTGGAAAGAAGATAAGTTCCTTCGCCGCTCATGATTTGTGAAATTAAAAAAAAAAGTCGCCGCTTTTACAAAAAAAAAATAATAAAGCAACCCCAAAATAAATGAAAATTAAAAGTATTTTTATTAGAAGCTGTTGATGATGCGGCGACCCCTAATTCCGAACCCATCCTCCAAGGGCACCAATTTTCTGACAATTTTTAATTTTGACAATATTCGGAGAAATTTGCCCTTGAAGTTTGAAAGCAAAAATAATAATTAAATAAAGTTAATTATAGTTTACCCCCCTAAATATGACCTTGATAACACTTTGCTCCCCAAACTTTAAATATATATATCTTACTCGCTTCATCGACTAGTCAAACGTTGATGATAAATTTTCTATCAAAAATTTGCATAATAGTTCTAGAATAATACTATACTTTTAATCGAAATATGAAACATCTTATTAAAAAAAACACAAAGTCACAAGATTTAAAAAATTAAAAAAATTAAAAAATGGTATAATGCTAAAGATTTGAAATTTTGTATTGTGGAAAAAAAGAATTTAATAATTCCTAAAACATCTGTACAAGTTTTCCATCGTTTATCTTTCTTCGTTTAAATTGTAAACAGATTGATTTTGATAATTTTCGTTTATCTTGCAGCTTTTGCAAGATTTTCACGAGTCAACAAGATGCTATTTCATATTTTTATACTACATTCATACATTGTTTTGTATTTTATTTGAATATTGCATTTTTAAAAATGAAAAATCGAAGATTCTCTAAGTACATTTTCAATATATTTTTATTTTTAATTATATTTTTATTTCATGTAAGACACATTAAAAAGTGCTATAATAAGAAAATAAAAACAAATAGTTTTCATCTCGAATGCATTGAGTTAAATATATTGAAATAATTTTATTTCATTTAAAATAAGTATTACTACTGGCATTGAGATTAACACATTGAGTTGTTTAGGCTACTTCCTTATGGATTATCTAATTCATTGTAGTGATAGAATATTGAAATGCATAGTGTAATTGTGTTTAAACGCATTTAGTAACTGTTAAAGAAATAGGTGTTTATTATATTACAATTATTATGTGTGTCTAAGAATTAGTTAGGAATATTTTGATCATAGAAAATATAATTTCATCTTAATTCGTAGTCAAAATGTTGACTACGAATGGTAAAGTGTATATATTTGAAGTTTAGGAGGCAAAGTGTTATAAGTGTCCAAGTTCAGGGGACAAAGTGTAATTAGCCCTCAAATAAATTTCGGCAAGTGGTTTTTTTTTTTTTTTTTTAATAGCAAGTGCTTTTACTGGTTCCCATCACAAAGCAACGGTCAAAGGCTGGATTAATTGATGAAGCCTTCTCCTTCAAGCAATGTTTTAAAACCCAGACTGTCAATTGAACTGGTGAGGTGAAAAGGTCGAGATTCAATCGGTCGGATCGGTTTAACCTCAGTTTAATGAATTTTTTTAAAAATAATTTATATAAATATATATATGCACAAAATAAGACATGCAATGGACTAATTTAAAACTTTATATGATGAAAAGTTCACTATTTTTGAATAATTTGGATTTTCAAAAATAAAATTTTTAAATTATAAGTTAAAATAAATAAATTTCATCTAGATTTCAATTATATCTACCAAAAAAATCTTAAATCCAACCCAAAAATATCACAATATTTTGAAATTATACAAAATTCATGTCTATAAGAATTTGACATTGTGAACTTAAATTTTAATTTACATCTTTGAGATTTAAAGATTGTAATTTAAAAAAAAAAGTTTGGAGTTCGAAAGAAATTAAGAGAATTGAAAATAGAAATGCAAACTTGATAAGAAACAAAAAATGAGATAAAAGTGAGTGGTTGTGGCATTAAATAATTTGGGTTAAAGAAAAATAATTCTTTTTTAACTTTTTCCAATTTAATGGGTAAAAACAAAATTAAAAAATAAAAGAAAATATCAATAAATTAAAACTAATAAGGTTTGATTAAAAATGGAGTGACAAAAGAAAAGATGAGAGAGAAAGAAAGAGTTGAAGATTAAAAAGAAAGAGTCATGAAATGATAAGATTTTGTAAGAAAAATGAAAAAATGAAATATAGATGTTTGTTTTATATAAATAAGTTATCAAAAAAAGCAAATAAGATGTGATGGTGCAATAGTTACTACATTGGTCTTCTATTGCAAAAGTTTTGAGTTCAAATATTGCAAAGATTTTGAATTCGAATCTTGATAGAAGCATTTTGCAAAAAAAAAAAAAAAAAAAAAAAAAAAAAAAAACTAAAAAATCGGTTCAATCCGGTTCAACACGGTTCACCGGTTTTCACAGTTTTTACCGGATTTGACCGGTTCTCTGGCAAAATCAACCAAAGCATAAAACTGAACCGGTGCCATTGCTGGATTAAGTGAAGGCTTCAAGTGAAGCTGCAACAGTGACCTGCAACTTTTGGTGGATATTTTATTGATCTGTAGAAGAGAAAAGTTGCACCCCAAGACAATAATCATTGAACATATAAAATAGGTTTATCACAATTATCCATGGCAGCTCATTGCAATTATTCAAGCTTACTCTCCAAATTGATCTGCTTTCACTGAGGTTGTTTGCACCGTAGCCAGGTAAACTAACTTCTTTCTCAACATTATATTCTTGATTATATGTTTTATTGCTTTTGTTTTGTTTGTGAATAGAATTTCTTGATTATGAACTCAACATCAATTGTGCAAACTGTTACTTTTATTAATCAGTGAGAAAAAGAAGACACAGATCTCTTTTCCTTGTTTTAATCACTTTCTTTTCTCCTTCCCCTTGATCAGCATTCTGAATAAGTGATTTCCGGAGATTAAGGATGGCTCATGCTGCTGTTACTTGTCTCATCGAAACGATAGAGCGTCTAGCGTGCTTCACTTGTCTTGCTTTTGAAATTGATCATTTGCAATTCCAGCTTAATAAAAGCGTTGCAGGGACAACAGAACAGATCACGAACTATGCAGAAGGATTTCGTAGACGTTTACCGCAGACATTGGACTTGCGTTTTGAACATCCTCGAGATTGTGCTTTGCTGTATGCACATGATGGGCGAATAAAAAAGCTTATCAATAGATTCAGGAGAAAACTTGGAAGTCCTTTAGGATGGAATCAAATAGGAGAGTATGAATCTTCAGAGCCTAAGCTACTTGTTTGTGATAGTATAACGTCTTGTTCTATAAGTAAGCCTGCATTTAGATCCATAAAACTGAAACAAGTGATATCTAGGGAATTCTTTGAAAGGCCACCGGGCAAAATAATATTTCTTGGCAAGTTTTTAAATGAATTCTTGCAAAACTGTCTAAAGGATGCTGCAACTGTCTGCAATGACCCAAAAAAGTTGGAATATCTGGAAGGACGTATCGTGGATGTGGCTTATAGAACACAAGATATGATTGAAAACTTCATGTTCAATGCTTCTATTGAGTCAAAGGTAATGAACTATGTCATCTGTTTCTTGAACTCTGATCCCAGATCATTTGCAGAGAGACTCAGTTTTAAGTCAGAGGTGCAGCATATTTTTGACAAGAAGTATGGCATACATCAGTGTTTACAGCAGACACTTGTAAGCATTGATTCCATTGGGAGAGAACTTGGAAATATCTATGTTGATCGTCTCACGAGTGAAAACGAGCAACTAGGAGGTGCATTTTCACCTAACCCAAATCAGAGAAATGAGGTGGTAGGCCTTGATGATGATTGTCAATCAATTTTTGATAGACTCATAACTGTACCATCTCGATTAGAAATAGTTGCTATTGTGGGGATGGGAGGCATTGGT